TACATACTCACTTATCAGGATTTGGTGCTAGGATCCACATATGAGGGAGAACATACATGTTTTTTTTTCCCTGAGTCTGTTACAGATCCTCAGACAACCTTAAGAGTAAAAATAAATTGGTTTATCTGGGCCAACTGTATGGTCTTAAACACCCAAAAGGAAAGTATAACCAAAGATTAAAGGGCTCAATATAATTTCTTAAGAGTCCATGTGTATAGCTAAATGCTACATGACAAGAAATAATGCCAGATAGGAGATACCTTCTTTGAGTTTTTGGCCAGGGTGGCCTAAGAGACTCCCAGACAGTAATCCAGCATAGAACTTGGAAAATGAACAGCAGACCCCAATCTTATCTAAAGGAATGTTGGCAACTGATTGCTGCTAGATGAGGAAGAGCTGGTCTCCCTAAAACAAGGAACTCTAGATAGGCTGACTAGATTCAGGAGATGGACTAGCACTGGGGAATGGCTGAGGGCACCGACAACACAATGGACAGTAACAGGGATGACAGAGTATATGGGGCTCCGGGGGGCGGGGGGCTATGGGAGGTACCATTTGGGTAATGGGTAGATAGATGGATAAGGTTGTTTGGGATGTTCTGTATGATATACACACACAAAAATCAACAAATAAAAAATGAGTTATATTTGAAAAAAAAGAAATACTGATTTTATAAACTTGTCTCAAAGGTAAAATTAGAAACCTAGTTGCTCTTCATAACAAGACATTCAATCTATTTTTATAGGAATTGTGAGAAGTAAGTGACGAAAAGTGAATGTATATTCTGAAGTGTTTATTCAGATTATTGACTTAAGGTTAGCAATCAGTTTTAAAGCAACATGATTTAAAAAATGACTTTAATCTTATATTCCTATGATCACATATCAGCGCTCATGAGGCTAAGTTTTAACAGTACCTATTTGCACTTTGTTTTTCTATTTAAAAGCCCTTCATGTAGTTGATATTGGCCCTTACATGTTAGAGACCTTCTAGGGGGGCCACATTCAATCACATGTGGTGATACCCAGCCCCGGGCCCCATCAACAGAGTGAAGGCATGATTAGCATATGCCCCCTTGTAGCTTGTAGACATCTCATCTGGATACCAATGTTCTGGGTCACAGCAAGATAGGGGCAAGATTTAATCAAAGGGGCTCACACATCCTTGGGACCCATTTTCTTCCCTCTGGTGTCAATTTCAATGAGCTCTGTAGGACAGAAGTCCCTGTCAGAGTCTTCTGTCTGCAAATCTACTGGCTTTCTTTTCCTTAGATAGGGCTTGATAGAGATGCCGAGTTCCAGAGTTTTGCCTTCCAGTTTCTGATCTCATGAAAGTTACTTCCCTTTGCTTTCATTATTTTTTCAAATATATTACAAGAGAATATTTTATCTTTAGGTTTTCTTGTTAACTACAAAAATCTTGAATTGTATCCTATCTACTTTTCCTATATTTGAGTGGCTCCCTGTCCCCTCAGCAATCCACATACGGCTGCCAACCCTTTCCAAAGGAGACTATCATTACCCAGGATTCACTGAAACCTTAAGCTCTGTCCTTGGAGGCAGCCTAAGAGCACTTTGTATGGCCACCTGTAGCTGTCTCTGAGGAACCACCCATAAAAACACCATGGCAAAACACAGAGCTTCCCAAGTGTCTTTGAAGTCTAGCATCACAAATCTCTTTCTGAAGTGGGCCCCAGGTTTCATAGCTCTTTTGTCAGACCTTGACTGATGACGTTATCTGTACTGGGAGAACTTCTGGGCAGCAGAGACAAGAGCATACCTGTGAACATCTTCTTTAGAAAGACACTGGAAGCCAGCAGAATTTTAAATCTAAAAATGATAGTTGTCAGCCCTAGACTGTTAGGAGATACCTCTGTATCTCCCTGTAACTAGCTCCATCTACAGCTTTGGGTGAGTCTCTTAGCCCCAGGCTGTAGTTCCCTCCTCTGTCTTCTTTATAAGATATTGAATGTTTCTTCTGTGTGATCTTATTCAAAATCAGGAGAATAGAGTATTTCAATTCAAAAGAAAATTAAGTTTCTCTGCTGTGACCATCTTGATGTCATTGTGTACAGGTATAACTCTAATGTACAGTGTTCAATGAACGGGGTAGTTTCAGACGTCATTTTGATATATTTCATTTTTGTAGATTTGTTTAAAGGAAACAATTTTGGCATGACTTTACTCCATAATTTTGAATTCAAGTCAGTGTTTTAAGAGAGTCAACTGTACATAAAGCAGACCATTGTCTAGTTAAAAGACATAGAAGCACACTGAGGCATTATGAAGTTTCTCCCACATCTCTGAGTGAGCCATTTTCTACATTAACTGGAGTGCAGTATAAACATGAGTGACAGTTAGAGCGGCTGAGTGGTGTAGTGTGCTCTCCAACACTGAAAGAGTTCAACATGAGCAGCGCAGCTAACGAGGAGGTTACAGAAAACACCCATCCCATCATGGTGGAGCTTCTAACTTTCCAAGAAGTCTGTTTTGTACTTTCAGGGTCTGGTACTAATGGCACCATATTTTCTTGATCTAAGAGTCCTACCTGTCTACTTCTTAACATTTCTGAAACAAGACTGCATCTTAAAGTCATTGAGTAGTCATTTAATAGAGGGTTTATTTGCAGTTCCTAAAAATATTGTTAGTAAATTTTAAGTATTCCTTGAAATTGATGGAATATAACAATAGAGTATAGGTTCAAGATTTTCTTAAAACGTCTTGGATACCTCATGAGAAGAAAGAGGAACACGTTTGGGGTATGGCAGGTGTCTATTAGAGGAATGTGACGTTGTTCACCGAGCTCAGGAAGGCAGAAAGGCAACTGGCCTTTAACATTTACACGTTCTTAGAAAAGTCTCAAAATAGTTGTAATAATAAATGACCCAAGATTTCCTCTTTTACATACACTTTGATACGTATACTCTGTATTCTATATTTCAAGATTCACTTTCTTTACATAATGGCTTCAGCAGGGATACATTTATTTAACTTTCAGCTCAAGAGGTTTATAGACCTTAATTGAAGCCTATACTGGATCCCCTTTCATGTTTTTGTTGTTGTTGTTGTTGTTTTGTTTTGAGACAGAGTCTCTTACCCTGTCTGGCCTTGAAGTTCTGTGGTCTAGAGAGGAACCTTGACCTTCTGATCCTTCTAATTCCCTGGTGTTGGGGTAGCCCACTCCCAGTTTATATGGTGCTGGGGGTCAAGCCCAGGGTTTCATGCATGCTAGACAAGCACTCTACCAACTGAGCTACATCCCCATTTTGTGGGAAAAGTCACAAAATAAAAATGTGGTGGTCAGTGCTCTGCCCTGTCAGCCACTAAGGACGATGGGGAAACCCTGTGAGCAGGTGCACAGCTTGAAAACTTCCCTCTTCCATAGTCCCCTGCTCTGTGCTGAGGGTACCTTTCCTTCCGTGCCTCTTTTCCCAGGCCTGCAACCCCATGAAAAATGTTTCCATGGGTAACACTGTGCGTGGTTCATGACCCAGAAAAGTCCTAGTCTGGATTTCTCATTACTTCTTAGAGGAATTGAGTGTGAATTTAAGAGAATCACTTTGGAGAGGTGACACTGATTAGATTATGAAGTAATAAGATTAGCAGAAATAATCCTGAAACTGAAGTCATAGTTTTTTCAGAGGATGTTGGCTTTGGGTACTGACTTATACCACAGACTGACTTCTCTTCTTGTTCAGTGATCATCCTCTCCATCATCGAAGGCATCATCATCATCGTGCTGATCTTCCTCCGGAAGCAGATCCGCATTGCCATCGTCCTCCTGAAGGAAGGCAGCAAGTAAGGGGGTCAGACAGCTCTGTGGGCCCCAAGTCTGCCAGCACAGATGTCAGTCTCCCCTGAAGACTTCTTTATTGGGGGGGGGATATGCATATATATGTATGTGTGTTCACAGACGTGTGAAGGCCAGTACACAGCCACTCTCCATCCTATTTTCTTTGACACATAATGTCTAATTGAATTTGGATCTTGCTGATTCAGTTAGACTTGCTACCTGGAGAACTCCAGGCACTTCTGTCTCTGCTTCCCAGGATTGCTGGTGTTAGCTATCATGCCAGCTTTCCAATTGAGTGCTGGGGATGGAACTCAGGTTGTCATGCTTGTGTGGCTAGTGCTTTACCAACCCAACACGAGGACTTCTTAAAGAACGAATTCAAGAATACTTATTCAAGTTCAGATGCTGTTGCCTGTTGGAAATGTCAGGGTCACCACTAGCAAGCCCTTTGTGTCCCCCAAGCCAGTGCAAACTAGGACAAAATCTGTCTAGCCTATGCATTCACACTTTCTGAGCAAGTCTATGTTAGGAGAATAACACAAGGGGCATAATAATGAAACACCATGTACAAGTTGGCTAGATTATAGGTCATATTATTCCCATGGCGGCTTGTGTGTTAACATTACAGATGAAGATGATTTGCAGAACTCCTAATCACCATAATTCTATAAAGTCAGTTATGTCCTATGCTATTTGTGTGTGTGAACGACACATTTTTCTAGCGGACAGAATGACTGATTCTTACAGCACATGACTGTACATTTTGTATGTAAAACACATAATTCAGGAACACTTAATACCCAGTCATTCTAATTTTAAAATGTTACAAAATAAACACAGTCTTTCTTCAAATGCGTGCTGAGAGGCAATAATACCTATTCAGAGCTACCAAACTATCCCGAAAGGTCACCTGAGGATAACATGTACTGTAAAGCTTTGAATAGGAAGTAAGGTAAGCAGTGCGGGGAAGCCAATGAACATAGTCTGTGCTTGGCGTGATGGAAACTAAGTTGTTAACAGCTAAGAACTGAATTCTTTTTAATTGTCTTTAAGGACTATTTTATCAAATGTGCCATATTATTATAATAATAGTGCCCACCCCAAGCCAGTGGTTTAAATGGCTGACAAACTGTCTGTTAAATTCTGTTTCTTCCCAACAATAACTGTCGCCCTCTCATTATCCCCTGAAAACTACTAATTTTCTGTATTTATGTCTTAAATAGTATGTTACTGTGTTGTTTCACTGTAACTTGCTCCACTTCTTAAAACCGTAAGTGTGCATGTGTGTGCGCACGTATGTGTGTGTGTGTGTGTGTGTGTGTGTGTGTGTGTGTGTGTGTGTGAGTGTGAAAAGACAGTTTAGTAACTGTGACAGGTCGATAGATTGCTCAGGGGAAAATACGGACTGAATAAATGGGTCAGAATTCAGAGTAAATTTTAGGATTCTTAGCAGTGTCATCAGAGTGTGCAGGAAGAAAGGTCAGCAGAGCTCTATGGTGAGGCAAGGTGGTGAAGGCATGCTGCTGGTGTGTTTGAAATAGGAAGAGTTCTCTGGTATTTCTGTTTGGCAGTATCAAACACGAATGTGTTTGATCTGGTGCCATATGCTAAAGTGACTACTTGAAGTTGTTAGAGGAGCCAGAGGTAGTGGAGGACTGCAGAGAAACAGCATTGTCCAGAACTGACAGGGTAGTCATACACATGCACTCATGGTGGCTGGCATTGTGTCCAGACACCTGAACAAGATCAATCCAGACACAACTCCAGCCTGGAAGTGAAGGAGGGAGGGTCAGCAAGTCCCACCCCTAGCTGAGGAGATGGTGGCAGTCGACGGCATCTGTGTGTATGAGAGAGAGAGAGTTGGTTTTCTTTAGGTGAGTGACCCCTGGGAGCATTCCCATCCTCCGGTAGATGGCCCTACACCCATGCACAAGGAGACACCGTAGGTTTTTAGAAGCGCACATGACATTGGAAGGGAATAGTGGCAGGAAAATAGGGAAGGAACAGGAGGGGAGGGATTGGGGTAGATTTGATAAAAGCATTATATACATGTGGAGGCTACAGACATGGCTCAGTGGTTAAGAGCACTGACTGCTTTTGCAGAAGATCCGAGTTCGGTTCCCAGCAGCCACATGGCGGCTAAGAGCTAACTGTCTGTAACTCCAGTTCCAGGGGATCTCATGCTTCCTCTGGCTTGTGAGGGCATTTCACGAATGTGGTGCACTTACATACATGCAGGAAAACACGCATACACATAAAAACAAATAAATCCAAAAATTTAAAAACACATGATACACATGTATAATATTCCCAAACAATAAAAAGAAGATAGAAAGGGAGCTCAGGTAGCTTGATGTGCACTTTATAAACTGTGTCCTAAGAGGATGTGTCCTGAGAAAGCAATCTAAGAGTAAAGAGTTACTTGCAGGTTGCCATGGGGGAAGGTCAAAGACAATCATCACTTCCTTTGGAATTAGTGAGTATGAGCAGCCAAAGGGCAGAGGAGAAGACCTGCCAACACTCTGTTCAGAAAATGGAATGAGGTGTGTTACGTAGACTAAGCTCCGCCACTCCTCGTCTTCACGAAGGCTAACGATATTGAGAATAGTGCAAGAAGATATTTATAAATGGAATGGAATCTCCATACTTTAATGAAGATACTCAAAGTCTTCTCTGACTTTAGAAATCTAAGAATCTAAGAAAAAGAGAAATCATGTAGCTGCCTGTGCCAGAACCTTGTGGGTCAAGCAGAAGAAACTGAAGAGGGAGAAACGGAGAAATGGAGATCATAGACAGGAGTCAACCATGAGTGTGGGGAAAATACCCGCTTTACTATAAAATACATAAAAGTTAAAGCCAGCTCAGAATTTGCCACAGTGATCATTGGAAAATATTATTGATGGTTAGTACTGCTGCTCCTCAAATCCAGTCTAAGGCTTGCTTCTAGTTCTAATGGACAGAATCTTTATTGCGGAAATATAGTTCTGAGTCAACCTTCCTTTTGAATGCCAACCATCTGTTTTATTTCAGAGCCATTGGATATGTTCCTTGCACGCTAGCTTACCCACTTTTAACGTTCATTTTGCTCTCTATCTGCATTTCTTACTGGATTGTGACAGCTGTGTATCCTTTGACATGTAGCGTCTGTTGTTACTTTTTTAAGTTGGTATACAAAGTAATAGGTTTCTTTATGACATTTGCACACACACACACACACACACGATTGCTCCTTGCTCACATTTGCCCCTCCCCCCTTCTTTTCTCTCCCACCCTGTGATAACTGACTTCTTCATAGCTGGAGTCTGCCTTGATGGCTGGGGACCAGAAGCCTGTGTCCAGTGTTTTCTACCCCTGGAAGAAGAGGAAATAACTAGATTAGCCTTCTGAGCCTTAACATTTTTCAGTATAATTCCATTTCCCCTCAAAGCAGTCGCAGATGCTGATGCATCTCCTTGGCAATAACCCAAGAAGTCTCCTCTAGAATTCACCGGCTTGGGCCACTCTGTGCCACTGCCTTATGTTACTTTAACACAGGCCTCCTAAATGATGAGCCATGAAAACATAGGAAGGTTTTTGAAGATCTTTTTCCCATTGTCTTTAGATTATCTGCATGTTTTTCTTGTCTATTTTCTTTCAATTTAACAGTAAGTAGTTTGTCCTTAATCAAGTTCATACAGTTTCTTAGCTACGTCGGGGGTACCTGTATTCAAAGTTATAGCTCCAGAGGGCCAATGTGCATATGAAGATGAAACTTGTGACCCAGAAGTGAGTAAGAGAAAGAAGCTCTCTTCTGTATTTCACTGGGCAGTTGATGACAAGATAACCAGGTACAGGAAGGCAGGGCAGGGCAGGTGTTAGCAGAACCCTGAAAACAGCAAACACAATTGAGCCTGCTTGTCTTATAAATCCAAGGAGCTAGTATATGAGTAAAAACACTAATAAATGTAAAAATGTAGTAGGTACAGATAGATAAGTTTATGAATGAAAATGAGGCATTTTCCAGAACTCATAAAGAATTCTATAAATTGATATGGCAGAAAATTGAAAAGTAGCAGCCAAAGGTAATGGAACAACAACAAAAAAGGATAAGAATGGTATTTACCAGTATATTCTCCTGTCTTCTTTCTGAGTACAGAATTTTGACAATACTGATGTTCACAAAGTTTGCCCTGAGGCATCATGTAACTTTGCCTTCTATGGTGGAACCGGTGTGTACCATAAGTTGAACATGACCTTCCAGATCTACAACCTGTTCGCCTTCCTCTGGCTCGTAAACTTTGTCATTGCTTTGGGTCAGTGTACCCTTGCTGGCGCCTTCTGTACTTATTACTGGGCCATGAGAAAGCCCGATGACATCCCACCACACCCGGTCTTCACTTCATTTGGACGAGCCGTAAGGTAAGCTCTGTGGCCAATGCTCCGCCTATTGCCTCAGTTTGTTTTGTGTGCCTGTATTCAGTCGTGGCTGGTGAATTCAAGTGGCAAGGCACAGCTGAGTTGAAAATGTGATTCAAGATGCATAGATGTCCCCTGCCTCCTCTGGTTATGCAATCACAGTCTTGAATCCTTACCAAAGTCAAAGTTCTTCTAAATCCACTAGGTTACTAGAGACAGGAGGGGGTGGAGGTGGATCCAAAGGAAATACTGAGAATTAACTTGGCCTGTGTCCCTGTTGACCAGACCAAAAAAAAAGTATCCTATTTTTAGAACAGTTGCACAAGACAGATGTATTTGATTTAAACCCTCTGTGGAGACCTTGATCAATTTGAATAAGAGGGTATAAAAGCCCTTTGCTCCTGTGCATACCTTTTACCTGTGGAAACTGTCCGTGTAGCCCCTGGTTCTTGAATAGCAATGCTTTGCCTCCGTTCTGCTTTGTCTTTGCCTAGATACCACACAGGCTCTTTAGCCTTTGGAGCATTGATCCTCGCATCAGTTCAGATGTTTAAAGTGATCATAGAATATGTGGACAGGCGACTTAAAAGTAAGGTTCCCGATTTGATGACGACTTCTGTGATGGCAGTGGGTGTCAGAAAGTCCTGGGAACTCATATGGATCTGAGTAGAAAGGACAGAACTGGTTTCAAATGTATTTTGAAAGACAACCCGACAGGACTTGCTAAGGATTGGGTACCACGAGGAGGGAGGGAACAGCAGTGGAAAAAGAAAGCACGTGTTGTCCTATCGATAGAATGTGGAAGCCAGAGACAGGACATCTCAAAAAGATGTTTAAGAATTCTGTTTTAGGGCCTGGAGATAGGGCTCAGCAGTTAAAAGCACTGGCTGCTCTTGCAGAGGGCCCAGTTCCCACATGGCATCTAACAACTGTCTATAGCTCAGGTTCCAGGAGATTCCATGCCCTCTTCTGGCATCCATGGGCATTGCACAACACAGGTGTACTTATATACTGCAGACAATGCACTCATACACATAAAATAAAGATAATAAATAAAAGATTTTTTTAAAATACAAGAATTCTGTCTTAGGGGCTAGAAACATGACTCAGTCGTTAAGAGCACTGTCTGCTCTTGCAGAGAACCCTGGTTCTTTAACAGCATCTACAGGGTTGTCAGAAACTCCAGTTCTGGGGGATCTGATGCCCTATTCTGGCCTCCACAGGCATCACATGCACATGGTACACCTACATACATGCAGGTAAAACATACACATAAAAGTCAATTAATTTTTTTTAATTCTGTTTTAGCACATTCCGTGAAGATGCAAGGTGGTGATATCAGATATATAGTCCCAAGCCTGGAGCTTGGGTCAAACTGAGCTTCAAACATAATCACACATTATTGGTATTATTCTTCATACATGGCACATGCAGTGCACAAACACATGCATTCTGCTCATAATGCATCTGAAAAAAGCAATATGCAGAGAATAAGAGATTGGGGAATGTTCAGCCTCAATAGGACACCTATATCACACCCTCTCCTCCCGGGGCTCGGGTCACTGCAGAAGAGGGGACAGAAAGATTGAAGGAGCCAGAGGTGGTGGATGACTACAAGGAAACAGTTTTTCAGACACAGCAGGACAGGTGCACAGATGAGCTCACAGCACTTGTGACAGTATGCACAAGACCCACACAAGTTCAAGTCAGACAAAGTCCCAGCGAGGCCATGGTATAACGTCTAACTCTAGCTGAGGAGCCATTGGCAGCTGATAGCTGTTGGGAGGGGGGAGTTAGCTTTCTTTAAGAGCACGGTGTCCGGTAGGTTGATCACGCTCCAGAGGTTGGGCACACACCCAAGAGTATATGCACAGTACAACTTGGGCTCCACAGTTTTAAAGCTGGGTGTGTAAGGAAGTGGGGGGAGGAGCTGGGAGAGGAGGGTGAACATGGTCAAAGTGCATTGTAGGAAAGTGTCAAAGACCTAATAGAAGAAAAAAATTAAATGATCAGTTTTGAAGGCATCATGGTAAGTGAAATAAGCACAGTAGTAAAGAACCCATTCTTTCCCTTCCACTT